TCCCATTTATATGTCCTCAAGGAATGACTGGCTTTTCTTCAGGGCCATGTTTCAAACTGCACTTTTGCTGGCCAGCTGTGGAAGCTTCCAGGCCAGGGCTTCCCTCAAGTGTGCAAGGCTCTTCCTGCCTCCCCTCAGATAAAGATGCTTCCTCATCTTTTCCCTCATGGCACCCAGGTCTTTCTTTTCTGCCAGAGTGATCATCTCTTCAGTAATCCTCCTTGATTTTCCAGTCACAAACAACTTTTTTTTTTAACTTAATGAGTTCTCCCCCTGCTCCCTTGTTTATTTGGTCTTCTGACCAATCTTATCTCCTGTGTGTATTCCTTATCAGTTGAGAACTAATTACTTCACAGCCAGATACTGTTTGTAGCCAGAGGGCTTTGAGTTCCCACAGGAGTGACAGTTGCTTGTTTTCAGTGCTGAATGGCACAAAGAGATATTTCTTTGTGTGTTGTGGTGGGAAAGTAGTCCAATGAAGCAAGCACCATAAACATATCATCTGCCTTGTAGAAAGGCATAGTGTGTCTACCTGCACAAACTGCTAACAATCAACTCCTGAGGCTATTATTTATTTATTTATTTATTTACTTACTTACTTTTTGTATTTATAGCCTGCCCTTCCCTCAAGTGGGCTCTGGACGGGTAACAACATTCCAGTAGTACAATAAAATAGTTAAAATTGAAAACACATAATAAACATTAAGATAGAAGACGCATTTCAAACAGAGATTAACTGGCTGCAAGAGGTTTCCCAGCCCGTTGGTAATGTAGTATGAATGGGAATATAAAGATTTTTATATATAGGTTTTTCCTTCTTGATTGTTCATATTCATATTTCTCTGGTTTTTATAGATTTATTCTTTAAGTAATATTTTATTAGGATGTTAGAAAGGCCTGTTATATAGAAGGCTTTCCTCTTGTAGGTCTGATATTGTTAGCAGACAACATAATAGGTACAAAGTTCATGATTCTGTAGTTCTTAGGGCAAACCTTTCAATGTCTGGGTCAGATAAGATTTTAGTCTCGTATCAGTAATGAATACTTTTGTTTGGGGAAGAACAAGCTTTAGCCGATATGCCTTGGGTCATGTCAAGTAAATATGTGACGCTATTGCATAGGCACACCTTTCTTACATTTGACCAATAAGGAGATTTTCATGTAAATTTTGTTCCTATTTATTGAGGCATGTTTCCTGATTATGCTGAGAAGAAAGCAATCAGCTTTTATGGGTTCTTTGGCCTAACTGTTTTCTATATTTCATTACAATAAAATACAGGAACTTCCTCCTCATTTGACTTCATTTTTGACATGGAATCTAATATGTACAACAGTCATGGTTAGAAGTGAAAGAGCCCTTGCCTTAAAACATTTCTCTGCAAACAGGATTTTTGTTGTTGTTGTTGTTCAGTCGCACAGTCAAGTCCGACTCTTCACGACCCCATGGACCAGGTCACGCCAGGCCCTCCTGTCTTCTGCCATCCTCTGAAGTTTGCTCAACTTCATGTTCGTTGCATCTATGACACTGTCTAACCATCTCGTCCTTTGCCGCCCCCGTCTTCTTTGACCTTCAATCTTTCCCAGCATCAGGGTCTTCTCCAGTGAGTGCTCCCTTCTCATTTGGTGGCCAAAGTATTTGAGCTTCAGTTTCATTATCTGGCCTTCCAGGGAACAGTCAGGGTTGATTTCTTTTAGGATTGACTGATTTGATCTTCTTGCAGTCCAAGGGACTCTCAAGAGTCTTCTCCAGCACCATAGTTCAAAAGAATCTATTCTTCGGCGCTCGGCCTTCCTTATAGTCCAACTCTTGCAGCCATACATGACTACTGGGAATACCATTGCTTTGACCATGCGGACTTTTGTTGGCAGGGTGATTTCTCTGCTTTTTATCATGCTGTTTAGGTTCGCCCACATCTTCAAAGTAGCCACTATCATCTCAAAAGGAAGGATTTCGCAACAAAATTGTTGGGTATTACATGTTGAAAACACTTCAGTATATATGGGGTTAAATGTCTGTTTGTGTTGTTACAGGAAATCACATGCTTTTGTGTAAGCCAATACTAGTTTAGATCTGCAAGCCCGCGAAAAGCATCCCTGATCTAGTTTGATTGGAAGCAAAGTGTCAAAGTGGGTTAGCATTTTATGGCTCCTCTTCCCGTCTTTGTCTGCTGTTTCTGAAGAAGAAGTAAGAGAAGCCATTGCTAGCTCTTCTAGTGTTGTCCTTTGTTGAGTGAGGATGTAGCTGTTTAGCTGTGTTGTTATTTTCCTCCCAGTTACCCTTCCCTATGCTAGAATGTAGTAAAACTTTTCTATTTTAAACACACATGGACTCTGAGTCTGGATTATTTCACTCTGGCGTCGCTAAGCTATTTTTCTCTGCTGAATTACAATTTTAAAAACTCCAACAAAAATGGGCAGTAAAAAGAAGACACCCTCTAAAGCAAGGCAGATTATTGCTTCATGACCTGCTCAGATAACCCCCCCAAATAGTTAGTTCCCTACTAATGGGAAACTACTCAAGACTAAAGTCACTCTGAAAGTCAGGCTAGTATGCCTTCCTGAAACCAGGGTGAGACAAGGCTGAAGAGGAGACCAAACAAAAAAGCCATTTTCCATAAGAAATAGCAAAATAAAATTTGTATGATCCACCACCACCATTATTGCAGCTTTCAGCTGATATGTTGATTCCTGGAAAATTACAACATGCCCTCAAGGTTCCTAGAATTCTATACGCATACCTTAAAGAGGCAGAAGCTGGTTTCTGCCATGTCAGAGCATCGGTCTGTTAATCTCACTATTGTCTGTTTTGATTGGCATTGACTCTCCAGGTTTTCAAACAGGTGTTTTTGAACACCTGTTAGGCCAAGGCCATTTAACTAGAAATACCAGGAATTGAAGGTGGGATGTATGGTACTGTCCAAATAAAACTAATCTGAGTATCCCCCTTCCCTTACATGCAGCTTGGATATTGAAGACTGTCTAGATTGCGGTGAGCAAGTTTGTTGTGAGATCTCAATGGAGAGCTTCTGATATCTCAATGGAGAGCTTCTTTGTTGTGGTGACCAGAATGTCAGAGTAGGACTCAGGAGACCCCAAGCTGAAATCTGCATGCAGCCCTATAGCTCAACTTGGGCCAGTCAGTGTGTCATAGCCTACTCAACTTCATGGAGCAGGGGGGAACACTGTCCATTGTTGAGAAACTTCTGGCTAACATGGGAGCTATTTCATAGCCATTTGGAAATTGAGATTCCTACTATTGGATTGTTTGAAAAATACCACCACAACACAGAATTTTGATAAAGAACTCGAAACGAACTCTGGAAACTCGAGATGTTCGTCATTTGACCTATGGAATAAAAGAAGAAATTTGAAATAATATATCAGAATAAGCCTACATTTTATTGTCATTGTTCTGTAATTTTTGAACTTATTGCAGCAATTGCATGATTTGATGCTCAGAATTGGACAAAATGATAGACAGTACTCTGCCCTTCACTACCCAAAGGTGTCTCAGAGCGCCTTACAAACTCCTTCCCCTCCCCACAACAGACACCCTGTGAGGTAGGTGGGGCTGAGAGAGCTCTCTGACAGAAACAGCTCTTTTTCAAGGACAGCTCTTATCAGAGCTATGGCTTGCCCAAGGTCATCCAGCCAGATGGAAGTGGAGGAGTGGGGAAGCAAACCCGGTTCTCCAGATTAGAGTCCATGCACTTAACCACTACACCAAACAGGATCCCAAGCAGAGCTCTATACGCTGCACATCTGGTCTGCTCAGCTGTAAATTCCTAGTGGAAAGGGAAGTGTGCAAATCCAAGGACTTCTCATAATGGCAAACCATGGTTTGTTTAGTTTGGGATGAAAAGTGGCAAGCAGTCAATGTTCCCTCTAATTTTCCCCCCTACTGAGCGGAGCAGTTCACATCCTGAGCGGACTAGAACAGCTAGAATTTTAAAATGGACAATAGGCAGCGAAAGATCCTGCGTGGCTCCAGACTGCTGCTGAGCAGGGCTTCCTGTGTTAATGAGTGGCTGCTCATGCACACAGCTTTGAGGGAACACTGCAAGGAATGTATTTTTTTTTTTTAAAAAAAATTAATGACAGGTCCTCCATCTAGAATGTATCAACGTCGAATGTTTTCATTCACCCAACTCTTTTAAAGAAATGGGGTGGTTTTAAAAGATGACCCAAGACAGTAAAAATTCAACAGGGGCTCCACTAAAATTTTCCTGGGAGTGAGAATCACAAGATTCACAGCTGAGAAATCATCGTAGGTGGCAGCAAGTTATCATCAGTGTTCCCTCTAAGCTGAGTTAGTGTGAGCTAGCTCACAGTTTTTTAGCCTCCAGTTCACACATTTTAGTCTTAGCTCAGGAAGGATGGCTCCAGAGCAAATTAATTTATCCAGCAGCCAAATTGCTCACTCACAACTTTAATGCCAGTAGCTCACAAAGTAGAATTTTTGTTCACAAGACTCCACAGCTTAGAGGGAGCATTGGTTATCATTCCCAGGCATATGCAAACCTGGAAAACAAGTCCAGAAGCTTCTAGTTGGATTCAGTTTAATTGAATCGATTGAGAATCTGCAAGGCCGTTTTGTGGCCTCAAAGGTGCATGCCTCCTCACACAGGTATTTTACAGTGCAACTTATTGTACAGCCTGTTGCTAAGCCACAAACATGGGAAATCTCAAAAAAAGTAAAGGTATGATGTGTGAAGTTTCCTTTGACAAGGGCATCCTGTATGGGTTCTGCCATCTGTGCAATCGGCCTGTTGTTCCCCCTCTTCCACTGTGTGCAGTACAGCACATGGAGATCAGCACATGTTGGAAATGTATACCATGTGGCTGAGAAGGATTGCTTTGTGGAAAGGTGTGCCTCTGATCTTCAGGAACTGTCCTGTGCAGACAAATTTTGCTGTTAACATATTTCTGCGTTGCTTTTGTCAAGTGTATATACGTGTATTGTTGAGATGCATATTCTCTTCTTTCCCTCTTTTCTCTAGCTGCATCCTTGATCCAGCTTGATTGCTCGGAAGCAGGTGTTAGTTTGGTCAGTGGCGACAGCAAAGGAGAGATGAGCAAGGACCAGAGCAGCACCCAAGGTAGAGTATGAACCCACAGTCATTTGCAAGCCTTGCTTGCAAATTCAAAGTTTTTTAAGCAGACCGTTTTTTGGTTTCTTTTATAAATAATTGCATCTAACTGTTAGTTTATAGGTGTTAATTGCCCCCCTTTTTACCATTGTTCGTAGCTTTTAAATATTGTTTACTTAATTAGCTCAGAATAGCCATCCTCGAGCATCCCACGGTAGTCTCTTCAGAGTTATTCTTTCAGAAGGGTCACTAAGATTTATGAACACGGTTTGTAATAAAAATAATGAGATGTGTGCCCAACTCCCTCTGCGCCCAGTGCGACAGCATTTCTCTGATCCTGCCAGTGAATTAAAAATGTTCATGAATACATTCAAAAATGCTTGCGTTTCTGAAGCCTTGGAACACCAGCTCCCCCACCCCCATCTCCCTCAAACCGGAATGCTCTCAAACTGTTTGAGTCTCTTAAATGGAACTGCATCACTTAATGCAGGTATAAACGAGCTTAGTGAGTTTTAATGTGGAAGCTTTGGCATTCTGTTTTATCAGGAGGCACTGAAAAAGTTGCATATTCCACTAGACATGGAAAGATCCCTCTTGAATGGGACTTGTCATAGAGACTATGGGATGTGAGCGCGTTGCGATGTTGGGAATGTGCTTAGATACTGTAAAACAACAGCATAAACTGTGGTTTGACCTTTTCCATACACAAACATGGGTTTGTTTCTGGTCTGCCTGGAAAGTGCAAAGCATAACATGCCAGGTTGGCTATAATGGCAAACAGGGTTTATAGAAACCCAGAAATACCCCAATATCTTGCCATGCCTGAGGGGTGGCGGGAGAGCACAAGGCTGAGGACCCCCCCCCCCCCCCGGCTTATTCACCTAATGGCAAGTCATGGGTGGCTGTCCCTTCTGAACCAGGCTAGAAATTTTGCCAGCCTGCCTAAATTTAATTGTCTTCCATTGTCACTGGGATCAGGGAGTTACTCTGGGATTAGGTCTATCAACTGGTATTAGCCATGACCCTTAAATGGAAACTCCGGGTTGCCAAGTGTGAATTCAGCCGCAGCAGGGGACTCCCGGCTGGCAGCTGGAGTGTGCACGCGCGCTGCATCCACATCGCCCGGAAGTGACGCGGGCACGCTGGGGGCGGGGCCATGACCATCCAAGGGAAAACCACAGAGTTTTCCCTCGGATGACCATTGCCCCGCCCCCGGCGTGGTCGCATCACTTCCGGGTGATGTGCACGTCACGTACTTTGGGGGTGGGGTTCCCCCCGGGGCCCGATCCACCAGCAGCAGGGAACGGGCCTCTGGGGCGGGGGTTTCCCCGCCCCCCAGGGGGACTTGGCAAGCCTATAGCCCCGTGTTTAGAGGTAGTATATAGCACACCTGTGAGTGCTGGGAGCTGGGGACAAGTAACTGGGGGGTACCCATCACATTTCCCACATTTCCCACTCTGCTTGAGATCCTTTAGAAGTATTTGGCTGGTTTCTTTGGCTACAGAATGCTGGACCTTTTTCTGATCCATCAAGGCAATTCTTCCATTCTCCTTGGCAGAATAGAGCACAATTGCCAAAAGAACTGATCAGAGTCATGGAATGTAATCCGGTTTCGGTTTCAGTACCTTTATTGGCATACAAGGGATGTAACCCAAAGTATATTGTTCATTTTTTCCCCTCCAGTTAAGCCATTTTAGTTGACACTGAGGAGAGAATTGATTGATTGGGTTTTCTAGGGTCAAGCAACTAGCAGCAATTGAAGGTTGTATGCAATATTCTCGCAAGTTGATGAAAGTTTAAGGTTTAGCTGTAGATTGTGGCTGAGATTGTGTAAGAATGTTTCAGCCCTAGATAGCAGAAATGAGGGGTTTCTTTTGAAAATCTTTACATGTGGCGGTTTATGATTAATATAAGCAGAGAACATCATAAATTAACTCATACACTAATGACTGCTGCAAAGCTTCTGATAACTTCCAAGTGGCGCTCTCCAGCTCTCTTTTCTGTCAAAGAAGCCCTGTTTAGAGCGTTGCAGCAATGTGAATATGTGCAAATTAGGGGAAGGGGAAAAAAAGGATTTTGTTCGAAGTTGCCTGCCACTTATTAATTTTATTAAGCAAAGATTTAACGTGGACTTGAATAAATTTGTCTGCTTCTCTGTGATATAAAATAAAAACATTGCTTGTTTATACTAACGTGGTGTAGTTATGAGAGTGTCAAACCAGGATGTGGAGACCCAGGTTCAAATTCCTACTCTGCCGTGGAAACTTGCTAGGTGACTTTGGGGCAGTCATACACTCTCAATCTAACCTACCTCCCAGGGTTGTTGTTTTTATGAGGATAAAATAGAGGAAGGGAGAGCGATGTTGTTAGCCATTTTGGCTCTCCATTGGAAAGCAAAGCAGGATATAATTATCTACTTAAATAAAGGAATGTACATATTTTCCCCCTCAGAAACAGAAGAGCAAAATCAAGAGGTTTATTTCCTGGATAAACCAGACATTGACTCAGCTACTATGTATTCCGGTTCCAAGAGCTTGCTCTCGCTCAAACTGAGTGTAACAAGCACTGATGTTTTTGATGAGGACACCATAGATGACACTGAGGAACTGCGACAGAAAGTTAAAGATCTGAAGGCTGACCTGGTGAAGTACAGAACGCTGCTGCTCCACTTGCAACCTGCTAAGCAGCTCCTCCCCAGCGATGTTCTCAGTATCATCCAGAGTGATGGAGAGTTGCCTATGGACAGTCCCTTTCTCCCAGTGCTAGACATTGGTAGGCAAGAGGCAAAGATCTTATCTGGCAGCCACCAGCAAACAGAGTATCAAATCCACATTGAGAATCTGGCTTCTCAAGCCGCAGAAAATCAGAACGAAGTCACCACTGAGAAGCTTAAAGAGCTGCTGCTGGAAAACGAGGCCAAGCTTAAAAAAGAGCAGATTGCAAATACACACCTCCTGGATGAAGTGGACCGTCTACAAAATCACCTCAAAGACATGTCACCATTGAGGTGAGTTGTGTATGGAAGTGTGCATGGATGTCTTGGCTTAAAGTTGGTGAGAGACAATGGTATCTTTCTACTGAGCAAAGAAGAATCCTGTGCTGGAGGAAGGGCTCTTCCCCGATGGGGGGGTTAAAATCTTCCTCTGATGGATCAGCTTAGAGGAGGGGATCCATGAGATTCAACCCAGTGTTTGTATTCCATTTTTCTAGAATTTTAAAATATGGTAATAAGCAAAAAAAAAAAAAAAAATCTGTTGAACTACACCTCACAGAAAGAACCCAAATCAATCAAATGTGTGTTGGACAAGAAATAATTCACAGCCATTCTGAAATCACAGCACAGAGGTAGATTTTGCAACATGTTTGGGAGGGACCTTCCAGAGCGTAGAGGTTATGACCTGACCGTAAAAGTCTTTTTCACAGTTAGCATCCTAACTAGGGGTGTGCGCTCGGTATAAACCGAGCCAAATAAATAGCCCACAAATACCCAGGTATTAATTAAGCCAAATACAGATCAGAAGCTGATTTGGGGGGGAGGCAGGGGTCATTTCCTGCAGAAGCACACAGGAGCGGAGCTCCGGCAGTAAAGAGCCCAGAGGGCGGGCACATGCAACAAGCCCCACCCCCTGCTCCCAGCAGCCCTCAGTCAGAGCAAGAAGCATCCAGGTAAGTTGCAGAGCTCTCCCCCCCCCACCCCCCTGGTCCAAAACAGTCCAGTGGCACCTTAAAGACCAAGTTTTATTCAGGTACAAGCTCTCCCTCCTCTGCGAAGACGTCCCCCCTTCCCCCCAATAGCTAGCAATCCAAAACAGTCCAGTGGAGCCTGAGCGGTGGGTGTTGCCTTCTGACACACTTCCGGTGATGTCAGGGGGTGTGGCATATGTAAATGAGTTATGCTAATGAGCCCCTGAACCTCTT